TTTTCTACCTAATATTCGCGAACGCGAACTATCTGGACTGGTTTTAGGCTTCTCGTTCGCGAAGGAGAATCAATACAGAATATTTGATTCGTTCACCTTCGCGTATAAAATCATAAATGTATGTTCGCGAACATTCATATATGAATATTTCCGAACCCTGCCCCTAATACACAAATACCAGTGTTACATCAAATCTACAGCGTGACGATGAATAACTGTTACCCAGTTTTTTTTTTTTTTTGAGAAATAATGTCTTGCAGCGGTCACTTGTCGCTTGAATATCATCATCATCAACGACTAAATTACCATTTATATGCAAAAGTCATGAACGAATTCCATATAAACGGAGCCCAAAGTCATTGAAGAGTTGATATGGCCGTACAAGACACTTAAGTGACTAATTCATGACATTCGGGGTACACATATATATACAGCGTGGCGACGAATAACTGTTACCCAGGTTTTTTTGAGAAATAAAAGGGTTCTTTATAGATTTTGCGAAAAAAAGTAGTTAATTGTTAATTTTCCACAGATTTTACTTTAGTTGTATTAATTAGTTTTTAAATTTGAATCCTTATTTACATTTGCCAGCAGTGTAAACTTTGAGAGAAAAGTTCATTTGGTGGTCCAAAAATGTATGTGAAAACATAAAGTCGGAATTTGTATGCTCTCACCCCCTAGGATTGTTCTATAAAAAGTATAACCCATTTTTTTTTATTTTGAAATCAAAAAATATTTAGAGGTCGCTCATAGCGCTCAAAGTGGTTCACNTTATTTACATTTGCCAGCAGTGTAAACTTTGAGAGAAAAGTTCATTTGGTGGTCCAAAAATGTATGTGAAAACATAAAGTCGGAATTTGTATGCTCTCACCCCCTAGGATTGTTCTATAAAAAGTATAACCCATTTTTTTTTATTTTGAAATCAAAAAATATTTAGAGGTCGCTCATAGCGCTCAAAGTGGTTCACGTATTTTTATATGGGGAAAAAACAACTTTTCGTAGAAATGGTATAGAATTCTTAAAAACCAATACTTTTCGATCGAAAACATCTGTTTCTCTGCAGGAGTTTCCCAATAATAATACCCAATTATCTATTTAAAATATATTTCATCGCAACTATAATTTATAGGACTGCCAAGAACCCACAAAAACCCAAAAAATGCAATGAGAGGAGCAATAAAAAATCGTTTGTATTAAAAAATGGTTAAATAAACAATTGGGCACTGTTATTGAAAGTCTCCTGAAGAGAACCAGGGCTTTCCGATCGAAAAATATTGATTTTCAAGAATTCTATACCATTTTTACGAAGAGGTTTTTTCCCATACAAAAATATATGGAAAACTTTGAGCGCTTTGAGCCACCTTAAATATTTTTTGATTTCAAAATAAAAAATAGGGGTAAACTTGTTTTCGATATAGTACAATCCTAGGAGGTGAGAGCATTACAGTTCTGACTTTACTGTTTTTGGACCACCCTAGTCCACACATCATTTTACACAGAAGCCAATAAATTATTTTATATTTATGACATTTTTGAATAGCAATAATAAAATCATTTCCATCTTCAGTTTTTAAATAGTACATTTCATCATTTCATTTTAAAATTATTTTTAAATAATTTTATTTAGAAGCCGGTTTTTCTCTTTGCGCCAGTAAGCAAACTTTATACTTAAGATCCTCTCAGTTGCTTCGTTTGAGTGTGGTATTGAAAAAGCAAAATTACATAGTTTTTAAAACTGTGGAAAAGTACCACTATTTAAGGACTTCATATATAATTAATGGCTTAAATTAACTTTTTCAACTACGCAAAAACTTTGAAAGACTAAGAATTCGCTAAAAAATAGTATCTAACTATATGTCTTTTATGCAAAACTCTAACAATGTCAGTAAATTGTGAAAAAAGAGTTGTAAGTTATAGGCAAAAGCGATTCGAATATTTAAATTTGTTGTCATTAAACTGAAAGTTATTTTCGAGATAACTGGCAACACTCGACAAAAAAAGTCAGCCTTATTTTTAAATAATTCAAGCTCCATCATATTATCGCAACTGGTACGTAACGACCCGGCGATATGCCCATAAAACGATTGAACTTTTTGTTGTATTAATTTCTTGGGCATATGAAACAATCAGCCCGTTGGCAACTTTAGTATTCTGCGTTCCGTTTCCTTTCGATCAATCTTCGAAATTTACGATTATACCTATTCTACATTGCGATCGTAGTTCCGTTTTTCTAAGTTGCAAATTTGTTGACGGAGAACGTTTCGATTGTTATTTTCGTGGGTTTAAATAATAAAATTTTATAAAAAAAAAAAACAAGAGCAGCGCTGTCTTCGGCTATGCCGAAGGCTTCATACCTTTCATGAACATCTGCAAATTTTACTTTGACAGATTACTGCTTTTGAATACATCTGCTACATCGATAGAGGAGTTACATACCTATATAAAAAATCGCATCTGAACAATCAGAGGTATAGAAGATATACCTTATATTAGCACCAATCTAAGTGATTTTCACTGCTATGTGATCGGTATGTAAACCGGTAACACAATTTATTGGGTTTAGTTTCCTGCATAAAGGAGATATATCGCAAAAACTGGTATCTGAACAATCAGTGGTATAGGAGATAAAGCTTATACAGCATAGATTTTGACGATTTTCTCAGTAGACTTTGTATTATTATTTATAAAATATCTTACGAAATTTATCGGTTTTAGCTGTTCAAATAAAGGAGTTTTACAGTAAAATCCCATATCTGAACAATCAGATGTATGGAAGACACAAATATGTTATAGTCACCCGATCCTTGTTATTTTCAAAATATTCTGTTAATAATGAGTGAAAATGGTGCGAAATTTCATGTTCCTAGCTGCATAAATGGAGGAGTTATGATAAAAGACCTCATATCTGTTCTGATCTCTGTAAGTCTTCTGTTGATAATGAGTGAAAACAGCGCGAAATTTCATGGTCCTAGCTACATAAATGGAGGAGTTATAACGAAAAATCTCATATCTGAACAATCAGTTGTATGGGAGCTATAGGTTATAGTTACCCCATCTTTTTAATTTTCACTGTAAGTTTTCTGTTGGTAATTATTGAAAAGAGTGCGGAATTTCATGTTCCTAGCTATATAAATGGAGGAGTTATAACGAAAAATTTTATATCTGAACAATCAGTTGTATGGGAGCTATAGGTTATAGTGACCCGATATGTAATTTTCACTGTAAGTATTCTGTTGATAATGGATGCAAGTACTGCAAAATTTCATGTTCCTAGCTGCATAAATGGAGAAGTTATAACGAAAAATCTCATATCTGAACAATCGACTCAGCTCGACGTTCTGATCATATAAGTATACATTTTAATGGGTCTATCCCTTTTTATTCTGGTACTTAAAAACATCGGACCAAAGTTATAATACCATTTCATGCTCATGAGAGGTATAATTAAGTAAAATATACTGTGCATGATTGTAAGTCATTATAAATGAATTTTCTCGATTTCTGTGTTTTCGCAGCGGTAATACGGGCAATACGAAAAAGTGGCTCAAATATTGGCAACGAAAAGGGATATTGCGCGAGGTTTTCAAAGAGGAAGCACAGGCGTTTTTGTTTTCATTATCTATAAATAAGACTGTGAAAAGTACTTTGTTCTGGAATTCATTTGCGTTCAAATCTTCCACTCAGTAGTAAATGCAAATGTTGTGGAGTGCTCAAACAACGTTTATAATTTCACTGGCTTTGAGCGATGAGTAACACAGTTCTTAGCTCATCTGAAAAAGATCAAACATGTCCCTAAATCTCCGCCTTTCAATTTCCGCATCAGCAATCTGGGACTCGTTCTCCTCTTCAAGTAATAACGCCGCGGCTATGGATTTCATTTTTATAATAATGTTTCCACTTAAATTAAACACAAATGAATTTTATATTTAAATTACAATGATGTTAGATATATTTAGTTATTTTAAAATATTTACAAACTTTAACTTCATAAGCTGCTATAGTTTGGTGGCAAATATTTCTTTTGTTTTGTTTCGATTTCACACATTCCTAGGCAAACAGCTGATTTCGAAAGATATTTTCCCTCTTCTTCGATCGTAATGCAGAATACCTAAGTTCGATTCTTGCGGAGCGGAATGGGGGAGCGTAATCGAAATGTAGAATAGGGCTGATTATCTGAAACATGTCATCAATAATTAAATTATTTTCTTCTTACTTTTTACAGTAGAGTTTAAGGAAGTTCCAACGTTATGTAAAAATCTTAAGAAAAACTTAAAGTATTTTGTTTGAATTGAAAATACAGTACAAATCAGTACAAATTTTGAAAAATCAAGACTTAGCTTACTGATTGAAGAAATGAATAAAATTAGTACAACAGTTGAAAAATCAGTACTGTACTGATAAAATCAGTACGTCTGGCAACCGTAAAAAAGGTAACATCAAATGTGTATACAAGATCTATACATAGAAGGTCGCGCAATGCGCGAAATAAAAATTGCCTCTCTGCGCATACCCACCAAAAACACGATTACCACAGAAACGAAAGTGGAAACAAGCTAGGCGATGGGAATCGCTTACCCTTTCCCTTCAAGAAGGCATTATTTTAACATGGGCATGGCTTTGGCGGTAAGTACTTACCCGCAGCATTACTTTCAAACGAAGGGAGAACGCATGGATAAACAGAATCCAGAGAAGCGAACAAAGAATGCCTTACCGAGGAACTAATGTAGAATGCCTAGATAAGTACATACTTATTTATTTATATTAAACTGAAATCAGAAAATGTCTGAAAAGATTAAAATTAATTAAAATTTTTATAAATCTTTTTTCTGGTTTCTTTTCGAGCCTGAGGTCAAGTTTTTATTTTTGTTTTTACAAGTGTCCGATATTTCGGCTCTCAACGAAAGCCATCTTCAGGGACTCTAAATACAAAAACACTTAGAATACAACAAATTTCAACAAAAAGGGAGGCAAATCGACTTACATTAAAAGAAAAACTTAAAAGCAAAACTAACATAAAACACAAAAGACCAAAGAAAATATAAATTATTTTTGCGTAGATGATTTCATCCTATGCTGTCAAGTGGCTGGACTTCGACTGATTTTGGTTTGTATTCTTTTTGTTTTATCGATCAGGTGTCTGTAAGCATGAGCGACGTTCTCTGTGTCCGTTTTGTAATATATTCTTAATTCTGTCGGTGTGTTAGTTATATGTAGCATTTCTATCGTCAGTCTCTTGTTGTAATTGCTCTCCTTTTGCAATATGCTAACGTCATCAAAATTTGGATAATGTGAGAGTTCTGCACAGTGGGCCGACAGTGCTGTTTGTTGTGTGTTTCCATTTTGCGCGATCTAAGATTTGATTTGTGTCCACTAATCCTAGTTTTTAGATTATTTTTTGTCGTTCCAACGTAGATTTTTTCACATTTGTTTTGCGTATTTCCATTACATGTTATGCTATATATTACATTATTTTGGTCCATTTTGTCAATTTTGCTTTTTGTGTTGCTGTATAGTTTTTTAAGTTATTGTCCATTCTGTACGCAATTTTATATTTTTCTTTGTCATAGAATTTAATTTTTGCCATTCTGTCTGCCACTTTTGGCACGTAGGTCATCGACTTCCATATTTTTGGCTGTTCTTTGTTGTCCTTGTTATGATTATGTTGTCCATAGTATTTATGTAGTAGCTTTTTGATGGCCTGTTGTGGAAAACTATTCATGTTTAGTATATTGGAGATGATTTCGTTGTTACTTCTGTGAAATATTGGGTCGCTTATTGTGAGTACTCGTCTGATAAAGTTGTATGCCGTGTTGAATTTTTTGGATGATTTGAAAAATAGTTCAGTAGTCGTCCGGCCGCAGTGGGTTTTTGGTACCAATTTATTTTAATTACGTTGTTAGTCCTTATGAGTTGAGCATCTAAGTACGGTAATCGGTTCTCATGTTCTTCTTCCTTCGTGAATTTAATATTTTTGTGATAGCTGTTCAATGCTTCTAGTGTTACGTCCACCTGGTCCTTTTTGATGATGACAAATATATCGTCAACATATTTGGTTATTAGCCTAGGTTATGTCTGCAATTATTGGTGAAAGTGGCGATCCCATAGGTAGTCCTTTTTGTTGCGTGTAGACTCGATCCTTATATTTGAAGTAACGGGTGTCCTTTATGCAAAATTTCAGGCTGTTTATGAAAAATTCCTTCTTCCATTTCGTAGATTCTTCTATATCGTCCCATTTATGTTAGATGATCCTGAGAGCGTAGTCCACAGGTACGCTTGGAAACAGAGAGACTACATCGAAGGATATCATTATCTCGTCGTCGTATATTGGTGTCTGATATTTTATTTCTGAAAACTATGGAGTCTTTAACGTTGTATACAGATTTTTCTGTAAGTTTTTTTAGCGTGTTTGCCAGGAATTTGCATAACTTATTGGCAGGTGCGTCTATATTTGAGCAGATAGGTCTTAGTGGTGTATCCTGTTTGTGGACTTTCGGTAGTCCATAAATGCGGGGGGCTCTTGCAGTTGTTGATTTCAATTTGTACTTTTCGCTATTGTTGATGATGTTCTGTGTCGCCATTTTGTCTATGATATCGTTGGATTTTTTTAGTAGTGTTGCCGTTGGATCCTTCAATGTTCTTTTATATGTCATCATATCATTAACGATGTTTTTCATTTTCTTGTCGTAATCCTCTTCGTCCATCGCTACAGTGACATTTCCTTTGTCCGCATCCAAAATTAATATATTTTTATTTTGGTTCAAAAATTTTTGAGTTCGCCCCACTGTCCTTGTTATGAATTTTTCAGTTTTGTCCCACGGTCTTTTGTTTATTTCATTGTCAAGTATAATTGCCACTCTTGTTCTCGCGATTTCTTGCTCTTCTTTTTCTTTAATTGTCTGTATGCAGTCCTCACTGTCAGCTATTATGTTGAATATTGGAAAATCTTGCTGCTTAAATGGTAGTGCGAATTTTGGGCCTAATGAGAGCGCCAATTTTGCATATTCTGGTATTTCGATGTTTGTCTGGTTGGAGAACCAGTTGTTATTGTATATGATGTTAGTGTTATTGTTGTTTTTCTCTTTCAGTTTGTCAAATTTCTCTCTCAACAATTGTTTCGTTTTAGTCTCATATGCTTTACTTCTTATTNCTCTCTCAACAATTGTTTCGTTTTAGTCTCATACGCTTTACTTCTTATTTCTTCGTTGCTTAACAGCTGATCCATTTCTTCCTCGGTTAGGTATTGCTTAATGTTGTTTTGGTTTATATGGCTTTCCCTTTGGTAGGTTTTCATCATTATGTGTTTCTCTTGTATAATTAAGTTCATCATAATGCGTTTGGTTCTCTCGATAAAATTTTCTTTGGCACTGACGAATTTTGGCGGGAGAATTTCATCATTATTATTTAAAACTGATGTCATTTGTTTGGTAGAATTTTCAATAAAGTTTGGAGTATAGTTGTATTGTCTGCATTTAATTAAAAACGTTATGCTATTTTTTGTGTTGGTATGTTTGTCGATTGTTCTCTGATATTTGTTGATATCTTTGGAGATCCCTTTGTATTTATGCTTTATATGTTGGTATACCATTGTTGTTATTAGTAGTTTTTCACGGCCGTGCTCTCCGTTGAGCTTATATATGCAAGAATATAAATTCTTGCATTTTTATAAATCAGTTTTTAAACATACATATGTATGTATTTAGGTATTTAGATTTTACTTAAAAATCGGTAGGTACATATATGCATATTTAATTAAACTTAAAATTGTACTTCCTCACTCTTGTACTTCACATCATTGACTGACTTCAACTTCGTTTCAAATTGAACAAAGCAGAACATGATTTTTATGCGAGACAAATTTCCACAGAAAGTAACGGTAGAAAAAGAATTTTTGGATAAGCATTCTATTTTTCAGCTGACTGCGATGCAGCATTCTACTTTGCATTCTCCGAAATAAAGCAAAAAAGCGAAATAAAAAAAAAATATTGTAGAACATTCTATATGAAGCAAAGAAGTGAATTAAAAAATAAATATTTTAGGACATTCTACTTTGCATTACCGGCAATGCCTAAAAGAAGCGAAAAAATTCGAAGGCATTATAACGCTATGCCTTCTAGAACACGTTACCACTAAAAGCCATTACCGATTTTTTCCCAGGGCGATTCATTGCTTTCACGAAAAAGCTTGCTTGTCGAAAAACCCACAAAACTTGATTTTTCACAGCGGCCAAATTTTGCGAAATTTTCATTTAAACTCGCTATATCTCAGACGTTTATGCATCGATTGATTTGAAATTTGTACACAATAAACTAGACTATATTCTGAAGAAGATGAGTCTAGCTGCACTTCTTAATGCTTATTTAAAACGAAATGGCGGATATTTTAACATTTTTATAAATATTATGGAGGCGGTTTTTACAAATGCAAAAGTTGTGTTATCAAGTTTAAAATTTTTGTTTGGTTTTAACGCAGCATTAAAGAAAAATATACATACAGTAATAAACCTTTTCGCAGTTTTTCACCAATTGGTCCCCGAGGAGTACTTTTGGGTTGTGTGCAGCCCTTTGTTTTTTCGCGCGGCAACACTTACTGTGGGGAATTTCGCCTCATGATTAGAAAAAGTTATTTTCGAGGATAAAATACGNAAAAAAAAAATATTGTAGAACATTCTATATGAAGCAAAGAAGTGAATTAAAAAATAAATATTTTAGGACATTCTACTTTGCATTACCGGCAATGCCTAAAAGAAGCGAAAAAATTCGAAGGCATTATAACGCTATGCCTTCTAGAACACGTTACCACTAAAAGCCATTACCGATTTTTTCCCAGGGCGATTCATTGCTTTCACGAAAAAGCTTGCTTGTCGAAAAACCCACAAAACTTGATTTTTCACAGCGGCCAAATTTTGCGAAATTTTCATTTAAACTCGCTATATCTCAGACGTTTATGCATCGATTGATTTGAAATTTGTACACAATAAACTAGACTATATTCTGAAGAAGATGAGTCTAGCTGCACTTCTTAATGCTTATTTAAAACGAAATGGCGGATATTTTAACATTTTTATAAATATTATGGAGGCGGTTTTTACAAATGCAAAAGTTGTGTTATCAAGTTTAAAATTTTTGTTTGGTTTTAACGCAGCATTAAAGAAAAATATACATACAGTAATAAACCTTTTCGCAGTTTTTCACCAATTGGTCCCCGAGGAGTACTTTTGGGTTGTGTGCAGCCCTTTGTTTTTTCGCGCGGCAACACTTACTGTGGGGAATTTCGCCTCATGATTAGAAAAAGTTATTTTCGAGGATAAAATACGTCGTCGTTTAAAGTACAAAGCCGCGTATCAACAAAATGCAAAACCGCGTATCAAGCTAATGCAAAACCGCATATGTGAATTATCTAAATTATCTTCTAGAGAGTAAAAACACTAACATTTCAAAATGGTTCTCGTTTTTATAAAGCAATCGCATACCTGGCCAGTATATTTCAGGACGAATGGATAAGGATTAAGCCAAGAGCTTGTGTGAGCAAATCCAATTTTTGGCAGCTAATGCCAGTTACACGGTTTTGCAGAATGACGATACGCGGCTTTTTCTTTAAAAGACGATATATAATTGTGTTATTTATGAACAACATGTAGGTTAAATATAATATCAATGCTCAATTAAGAATAATATCAATAGTAAAGTACATAATTATTGCTTATGTTTATTTAAACTGGAAACTCAAATCGTAATTATAACACTGAATGGAGTTTTTATAAATTTAAGTTTAAAATCAATCAAATATCCATTGTAAGATTATATTATTATGAAAAACGTGAATTTTGTGAATTTATTAAGGAAAATTCTAAATTTCCGAATATATTGAAGTCTTTATTCCAAAACAAAACAATGTGTGCGGTTCGCAATGTTAAGAGGGGTTCCCTTTTATTTTAAACTCAATAATTCCAGATTAATTGCTTTAAACTGTACGGTATTTTTATTAGAGGAAATGTCTTAAATTAGCGATACAGGATTTGCATTAGATCGTAGCACACTTAATAATAACTTCTAGCGACACGGTCATCTATTTATTTATTGCCTCAACGGTTCTCACATTGCGGGTGGGTACATACATATGTACCTATATACCTTCATGCTGTTGTATATATGTATACATCTGGGTGTGTGCATGAAGTCACTGGAAATTCAATGCTCGCTGTGGATTTCATCGTGGAGAAAACTTGCTCTCCCGTACTTCTCTTGGCTAGGGTGGTTCGAAACCGTACATGCCGCCCCCATGCTGGGATCAGCATAATCACCAAACCGTCCTGTGGTGGTGTTTTCGGTTTCATTGAGCAACGAAAACACCAAAGGAAACTTCTGGGATTCCACTCCAATACGCATTGAGGAGGGCTGAAGAAAGCGTGCTAGGTGCTATTTGGTGCATGAGTATGAACAAATGATTACTTGTCTTGAGTGCATGAGGATATTGGTAAGAGGCAAAGCTTTGAGACAGACCGTTTGTAGATGCCGTTTTGGGTACGAATAGTTACTACTCTGACTAAGTTATCTGGACCTGGATGAAGCTCTATGACGCGTCCCATTACCCACACGTTGGGTGGTAGCCTTTCATCCTTAACGATGACGAGGTCATTTATTTGAAGATTTCGTCTTTGGTGACACCATTTTGGTCGTGTTTGGAGGTGTGATAGCCAATCTGATGTCCACTGCTTCCAAAATTGTTGAAACATTCGTTGCGTTTGAGCAAATTGTTGGCTGAGTGATACATTAGCCGCTGGAGAGGCGTTTGGTGGCGAAAGCAGAGAGTCTCCTATTAGGAAATGCCCCGGTGTCAGCACTTGTAATTCGTTGAGATCTGATGTTAAAGAGCACAGCGGTCTGGAGTTTAAACAGGCTTCGATACGCGCCAAAAGGGTTGCAAGGGCTTCGTAGGTAAGCCGAGCACCGCTCACTGTTCGCTTTAAATGATACTTAACCGATTTTACATTCGCCTCCCAAAGTCCTCCGAAATTAGGTGAATGGGGAGGATTGAAGTGCCACTGTATACCTTGGCTTGCTAATTTCGGCACGACTTCTTGCTCTATGTCCTCCGCAAATTTACGTTCATTTGGTTGAAGTACCTTGTCAGCGCCTATAAAATTTGTTCCGCAATCGCTGTAGATGTCTTTGCACAGACCTCGACGTCCAATGAATCGTTGCAGGGCCATCAAGAAGTTTTCCGTTGACATGCCTGTGACTGCTTCCAGATGAATGCACTTTGTAGCTAAACAAATGAAAATAGCGATGTACCCTTTATATGTCGTATTTCCACGAAATCTAGACGATTTTAGCTCGATTGCGCCGGTGTAATCGACGCCTGTTGCGAGGAACGGGCGTTGTGGTGGATTGACTCGATGGAATGGAAGTTCGCCCATCAGTTGACTACCAACTTCCGGCTTATTTCTAACACATTTAATGCATTTTCGAAGTTGTTCTTGCACAGTGCGTCTGGCATTTATTATCCAAAACCGCTGTCGTAAATATGTTAAGGTAAGCTGCGCACCACCATGTAATGTCGTTAAGTGCGCGTGAGTGATAACCAAACTAGTGAAATGATGCTTACTTGGTAAAATGATGGGGTGCTTCTGATCAAATGGAAGATTAGAGCGCTGAATTCGCCCACGCACACGAAGAAGTTGCTGCTCATCAAGAAACGGAGTTAAGCTAGTAAGCTTGCTTCTATGTGGAACAGGTTTTTTATTGCGAACGTTGTGTACTTCGGTGTTGAATGTTTCTTGTTGTACGAGCCTGACAACCTTTGCTAGACTTTGGTTTAGCTCGGTGACCGACAAAGGTCCACTTATGCGGGCACAGCTCTGAACTTGGCTATTCTGCACGAAACGGAGAATGTACGCACAAACGCGTACGGTTTTCGTCAGCGACGAGTACCGAAGAATAACGGAGTCTTGACAAATCGTGAAATTTGCTTGAAGCGGCTTCCTTTTAACTTCAGCTATTTCTTCGGTGATGTGCAATTCAGTCGTGCTAAATTTCGGCCAGGAATCTTCATCTGACAGCAACCACTCTGGGCCGGACCACCATAGCCTGAAAGTTGATAAACTGACTGGTGTTAGGCCTCGGGTTGCGCAATCAGCTGGATTTTGCATAGTATCGACGTGACTCCATTGTGACGGTGAAGAGGTTTGTAGTATCTTGCCACTCGGTTTGAAACCCATGTTTGCCATCGATTCGGATCGCCATTTATCCAGTAAAGCACAATCGTAGCATCGGTCCAATAAAATGTTTTTAGATTTGTATACGGTAATGACAATGATTTTTTGGTCCATTCCATTAATTCAGTCGCCAGCACTGCTCCGCACAACTCGACGCGTGGTATAGTCAACGGTTTTGTCGGGGTGACTCTGCTTTTTGCGATGAGAAGCGTTGTAAAAATTTTACCATCACTACATTCTACCCGTAGATAAACACATGCTGCATATGCAGCTGTCGAGCCATCGCAAAATACATGGAGTTGTAATGATTTAACATGATTTGGCTCATAGTTCAACCATCTCGGCAGCGTGATGCAGGGCAGCTCCGATACAGTATTTAGAAAACGTTGCCATTGGTGATTTAGATTTGTTGGTAGCGTTTCATCCCATGCCAATGGTGTGAACGTGTGCTCATCGCGTTGTACCTTAAAGGAC